AGCTAATTAATTGTAACTACTACTAAGTAATTAAAGCATCTCCATTTAATTCCCAATGAAAATTTCATACCATAGACGACTCATCATCAAGCCTCTATAAAATCTCTTCATACACATAAATACAGATCATTCGATATATATATATATATATATATATATATATATATCAAACCATCTGAAACACTTAAAACTCATATCTTCTTCTTCATCTCAGCTGCTTCAAAACTGACAACAATGGCGGGTATATATATATCAAACTACACGGGCGGGCTAATGGAGAGCTCCAAGTTGATTTGCGGAACCAATAACAATTCCTTCTCTTCAGACAAACCACTGCTGCTGCTGCTGCTCGATAATTCCTCGGCCCCGCCTGTAATAACAACCCTAAAAGCACCACCGACCATCGCCGCCATCATGGGAACGCCGTCGTTTTGCATGGAAGCTGGAAAACTGGTTTTAGGGTTTTCTTCACGAGGTGCGTTAATGGCGGCAGCGGCTGGTGGCTTCGTCGTAACGGGTTTGTGGTTTTGGGGATCGATTCCTCTGCCGATGAGTTTTCTTTTGATGTGTGTGTTCCAGTAGTTCTTTATTTCATTGTCCGTTCTTCCCGGCAACCGCGCAGCTATTAACGACCATCTGTTTATTATATTTAATTTAAATTTAATTAATTAATCAAGAATATATTTAATACTTTATTACAAAAAAAAAATTAGGGAGCAAATAGAATCTATGTGTGCAGATAAAAAGTGGGTTTCTTCTAGATTTGATCGAATACTATGAAATCAGAATAAAGTGTGCAAATTAACACTATATACATATGTATGTATGTATGTAATGTAGTTATAGTGTGTGTAATTTGAAAGAAATGAAGAGGATAAAATTTTATAATATCGGTTAGACCTCTATAAATTAATAGAGTCGAAACTAGCAAAATTCTATTAATTTAGCGAAATATTAAATTATCGAATTAATAATTTAGTAGGTTTTTATGGGGTCGGAATCAGAAGAAACTATTATTTAATATTAATTTATCGAACTAATAATTTAGTAAGTTTTTATCGAGTCCGGATCAGAAGAAACTATTATCTAAGCGAGTTATTAATTTATCGAGTATTAATTTATTGAAATTCGAGCGTACTTGTTTCCGAGCAAGGTATGGAGATTGATGATGACGTCATCCTCTTCTCGGGTGAAATTTCCTCTCTTGAGATCAGGCCGGAGGTAGTTTATCCACCGGAGTCTGCAACTCTTGCCGCATCTAAGCAAACCTACGACCGGACCAAAACAAACAAAAATAATTAGAAACCGGTGTTTAGAGTAATTTAAAGAAACTCGAGGGGCTAAAAAGGAAACCTGCAGATTTGGGAAGGGACCTCCAGCAGCCTTCGCCGTGTTGTTTGACATAGCTGATGAGACGGTCGTCTTCTTCTTTCGTCCACGCGCCTTTGTTTGTGTGCTCTTCTCACAG